ACACACACACACACACACACACACACACACACACACACACACACATATATATATATAAATGGACTCTGCAGGTTGTAGCTACATAACAGTAATAGTTAAAGAAGTTGTACAGTTGAGAGGGTGTGGAAGGGGGCACATGGGAAGAGTCGAAGGGAAGAGAGTGTAGGCAGTCCTTCTATATTTGTGTTGTTTTCATTGGTTGAATAAAGAAAACTGCCTTGGCCTTTTGATAGGGCAGCAATTAGATAGGCGGAGTAGACAGAACAGAATGCTGGGAAGAAGGGCAGACAGGCAGATGTCATGATTCTCCTGCCTGAGACAGATGCTGATTAGAATCTTTCCCAGTAAGCCACGACCTCGTGGTGATATACAGAATATTAGAAATGGGTTAAATCAAGATGTGAGAGTTAGCCAATAAGAGGCTAGAACTAATGGGACAGGCAGTGTTAAATTAATACAATTTCTTTGTGGTTATTTCCGGGTTTAAGCTAGCTGGGCAGTGGGATGCAGCCCGCTCCTCATACTACAAGAGAGTATGTGGAATAAATGATATAAATACAGTGTTCACGTGTGTAACTCTAAAATTTAAAAAAATGAATATAAAAACAATCTCAAAAGTGTCAAAGGTGTGATATACAATATGAAAACCAGGTTAATCAGTGTAATATGTGCAAGATTTTAATTAAATGAATACATGTTAACTGCTCAGATCACAGAGAAGAAATATATGCAACTGCTTGAGATGATGGATATTTTGTTTTAATATGATAACCATTTTAGTATATGTATCATCATCTGTATGTTAAATATACATAATAAAACTCATTTAAAGTAAAATTTTTAAAAGTCAAGTAATACAAGCTGAAAGATATAAAATCTTTGTTTTGAAAGTACAAATTTGGTTCAAGCACAGATAACACATATTTTAAAAAAATACCAAAACAAACAAATGAAATGTCCTCTGCACCGCACAGCCAGTCAGCCTTAGGGGAGAGTGCTCAACTGCCGGAACACTGCAGGGAGGGGACTACAACTGCCAGGCACCGCCCTGGGGTTTTAGTGAGCATGCAAAACGCAACATCACAATCAAGCTCTTCATCAACTCTTAAGCAATTACCGACCTTTAACCATCACCAACTGATCTGGGGGAGAAATGAAGTTAGAGAGGATCAGGCAAAACTTAAGAAGTTGAACGAGGCATAAAAACAAAAGCTTCATTCATACTCACCAGCAAATAGTTTAAGTTCTGTGATTAGTGAGATTATGAAGGAAATAATTATATATACTGAATTGAATGTCAAAAGTGTTGGGAAGGATAAAGAGTAAGTAAAAGGTGAGAATAATTCTCCTGAGGGGGCTTCACCACTCAGAAGAGAGCTAGTAAGGTGTGGCAGCAGATGTGACATTGCCAAGGTAGCATTAGAAAGTCCCTGACTGCATATCAAACACTGATCCCAACACAACTTTAACTACACAGAAGCAACTTGGTTCAGGTCTCAGACTTGGAGACACGGAGCTTGTACATCGACTATCCTAAACCTGGGTCATTTCTAAAACCGCATCACTCCTTGGTGTGTATAAAACATTCAATTGAAACTCTATTTTTTTGCAACAGCAGCAAGCTTTGAAATTCAAGAAAATAACTTTAGAAGTGATCTGAGAAGAAACTGAGACTACTGAGGAGTCAAAGCTGAGTCAAATGACTGGAGACACCTTGCACTTGGTCAGGAACAGGTAAGGTGGCAGTCACTACAAACTGACGTGTGCATAAAGCGGTTCTTACCAATGCCCCAGGATGTGTTTACACACACACACACACACACTCACGCGCGCGCAAAATCTGAGTTGGGTTCCTAGCATCCAAATCAGATAATACACAGGTAAAAATAAACTAAATCTTTTAAAACAGGCAGAAGATCTAATGCAGATTAAAAAGAATTTCAGAAACTTGTAAGAAACCACTGTCACTCTGTGTTAAGGATCAAGAGTATGTGGTAACAGGAGAGACTAAGTCAGCAAGACAGATTAGACAGCAAGAAATAAGCCCTCAAAAAATAAGTCCATCTTATTTTTTTTAAAAAAGATGTCCAAGCAACTTGATGTGATGGAGGAAGAGTCACCTTTTCTCATGGCACTTGAGTAACTGAGACCCAATACTTGGGAAAAAAAAAACACAAAAAACTCAAAATGAACCATGGGTTTAACTATACAATATAAAACATAAGTATTTATAAAACATTGAGCTATACACCTTAAATATACATATTTTTGTTACTGATTCCTCAAAAGAGTAGAAAAGAAACATCCTAGAGAAACGAAAGTCACATCCATACAGAAATTCTGTACATGAATGGTTTCAGCAGCTTTATTGGCTATTAGCTACACAAAAACTAAAGGGTAATATCCTCCAAGTGGCCATACCATGATCCTCTGTGACCACACTGTCAAGTACTACTCAGAAATCAAACGCTGTGGATTTATTCAACAACTGTCATTAGCGTGTAAGTGATGTATGTCAGCATTAAGCCTATATAATAAGCAACTCTAGTTACACAGCATCCTTGAAATTACAGAATTAGAGAGATGCCAATCAGAGAATGTCTCAGGTTAGAGAGGAAAGGATCATGGTCACAAAAACCACGCATGTAATTAAACTGTATATCACAGTACACATGAGCACAGATAAAGCCTGGGAAAGCTGAGTTCTCTAGATCATTTGACTGTATTAGAACCAATTCCCTGATGCTAATATTATGTGACAATTATAAAATATCGGGAAAACCAGGTAAAGAGAATATAGGATCTTTCTGTGTTGTTTTCTTATTAATGCATCTGCATCTACAATGATCTCAAAATAGAAAGAAGCCAGTACCCTTATTTTCCAGAGACAGAGTCTTGCTATATGGTCAAGGCTGGCTTTGAACTCACAGTTCTTTCTCAGCTTCCCCAGTGCCCAGATTACATGCACATGCCACCACATCAGACCTATCTCTGCCCCACCCCACCCTCACACAGACTGTTGTTCATGCAGGTTTCTTATACAAAGGGCCCCAAACAGGTTCCTAAAACCATTTTATATCATGGGCCGCCCTACTTCCTTCTCATTGCTCCCCTACTCTGTTGCTCCCTATGTCCCTTAAGCCACATGATTCTTTGCCCCCTGGCAGTCCCCTTCCTGCTTTGCTTCTTTATCATGATACCCCATGACCTTCTCTTTACCCCTTTATGACCTTTCTCCTCTCTCATGAATTTCTAGCTTCGTGGGAAGGGGAGTTTTGTACAGTATAGGTAACTATACATCAAAGACAATCAAACAATCAGACACAATGTTTCCAGAAATTACTAAGATTCAAATTTATTCATCAGCATATGGCTTACTAATAATATATACAAGCTTTGATATCTAGCTCTTCAGTATGTCATCTTTCGTGTAAATGAAGGTATGCATGCATGTGTGAGTATGTTTGGAGGCCAGAGGACAACCTTGGGTTTTGTTCCTAACAGCTGTCCATGTTGGTCTTTCACTGGTACCTGGAGCTCACCAAGTAGACCAGGCTAGCTGCTCAGTGAGCCCCATGGATTTGCCTGTCTGAACCTCCCCTCCCTGCACTGAAATTACAAGTGCGCAGGCCACCTCCTACACCCAGCCATTTATATAAGTCGGATCCTCACATTTGTGGAACAAGTCCTCTACAGACTAAGCCCTGAATATATACATTCTTAATCGCCCTTAATTTCTTTTGAGGTTTTGTTGTTGTTTGAGACAAGAGTATCACTATGTAGCACTGGCTGGTCTAGAAAGCAGGCCAGGCTGGTCTCACACTCACCAAGATGCCCTGGCACTTTGAATGTTAGGACTAAAAGCCTGCACCACCAGCCTGACTCTGTCTTTGATTTCTAGCCCAGAAAAATAATATTAAAATTCACTTTCAGGTCTAAGAGAAGGCCAAAGTGCAATGGGCTGCTTAATTAGAGCCCCCAAAATGTTCCAAGAACACCAACCACAGAACACAGCATGAAGGCAGACAATTTTACCTTAATTTTTCTCTCGGTGTCATCTAATTTTAACTCAGCCGTAACCAGTTTCTTGGCCAGATCATCTCGTTCTGGGAGGTGTCTAGCCTCGGAGATCTTTTTCAGTTTCTGTAAGGAAAACTTGGTCCTAAATAGTTCACCTTCTGTGTCTTTCACCCTTTTCTCTGTCGCCCGTTCTTTCTCCTGAGATTTTCTCAAGCGTTCTTTGAGCGCAGCGATCTCATTGTTATGACGCTGTATAAGTTGAGAGATTTCACTCTCTGCATCTTCAAACTTATTCAATGCTTTCTCCTGACGAAACTGAAGACTTTTCAAAGCCTTGTTTTCTTTGAGCAGCTGGGATAGCTTGACCTGCAGTTCAGACACTTCGTTCTGCAGCTCGTTGATTTTCAGAAGCCTCGCAGAAAGGACCCGCTTTGTCACGATATCTGGATCTCTCCGAAGCGTCTCTCTGTTGAGGCTTTGGGACCGAAATCCCACTCGGTTTCCCTTTTTGCTGGGTACAGCCTTAGGACTAATTTTCCTAAGGGCTGAAAACGAAACAGTAATAATGTGAGTGAAGGCCACACCCACGTTACTATTCATCCATCCAGAACAATGATTTTATAGCCAGGTGGTGGTGGCACACGCCTTTAATCCTAGCACTCTCTCTGAGTTTGAGGCCAGCCTGGTCTACAGAGTGAGTTCCAGGACAGACCTCTAAAGCTACAGAGAAACCCTGTCTCAAAAAAAGATTTTACAGGCTAGGTGTGGTGCGGTACATGCCTTTAAAACCAGCATTTGAGAGGCATTTGGAATCTCTGAGTTCAAGACCAGCCTGGTATTCACAGCAAGTTCCAGGGCTTTACAAAAATTAAATATCAGGGTTTCTTTAAGGTCTTGATACGTTTCTC